TCTCCTATTTTCCAAAATAAATTTTAAAAAAAGAATCCAGGTCAGGTTAAGACAATTTTCCTCTCAATGACCACAGTATTTTTTTGTAGACTTTGCTTTTAGCATTCCTTAGATGAAAATTCTTTTTTAAAATTTATTTATTATTATTTTACTGTTGTGTATATGAGCATAGACTGCAATTATGTGCATTCTGTGTGCAAGATTTAAAGTACAGAGTAAGGACAGAGAATTAAACAGTGACACAACAGTCTGGCAGATTTTTATGTGGATATGTTTCCTACCTTGGAAGCTAATGTTAAAAATGCTGCTTTTTTTCTTTTTCCTCATGAACAAATGCTGTCAGAGAGATGGAGACACAATGGTATTTAGAGAAGCTCTGACTCCAGGATCAAGCTGTTGGCACATTCTGCTGCTTCCAGTCTGGTGTTGACTACAGATGAGAAGGTGTGTGCAGTCAGCAGGGGAATGGCAGGGTCTTCACAATCAACTCCCTTTAAGTGCTCTATGCATCCCGGAGGGATCTCATTGAGTGATGCAATAGTTGCAGTTTGAGGTCTTTGGTTGGTGAATACAGAGCTCATTAAGGAAAAAAAAAAAAGGAAAAAATAAAAAACAAACCACCCAAGCCCTCCAGAACATAAGTGAAGGGTTCATATTCTTCTCTAAGTAATGTTATTTATTTTAACAGTAAGTTGGAGCTTTCTTTTTGTATTGTTTTTACATAGATGACATTTTCTCTCTGGCTACAGATCCTCTAAGTCATGGGGTCATCCAGAGCAAGAGGCTGCAGAGGATTGCTGGCCTCATGAAATGATCAGCCTTTATATAAGAACTAGAAGGAGCTGACTTGAAAGGAGGATAATCATTATTTCCAGTTTTTGCTGGCCCTGATGAAATAATACCAACCCATGCAAGCTGAATTCAACCACATTCTCCTTATTTGGTCTAAAGATAATTTAAATTGCTGGCAGTGTTCCTTATTGGACCATTCAGATGTATTTCTAATGACTTACAGTCTGTAGTTATCTGAGATAGGTGATTAATACTAAATAGTTGATTAATCCTTGACACATGACTGGTCCCTGAAAGCACAATTGGATCAGAAGAGATCAGTCTTCTCCTGAGCTCAGATAAGCAATGCCCAGGGTAGCTTGTGTCTGATGTTTGTGCTCTGGATACTTTATAAGATTTGAGTGATTATTTCTCTACATGGATTACAGGAGTAGTCTAGAAGTTAGGCTTAGACAAGGAACTTTTAACTGTTTAAGTTGAGTGATGAACCCCATACTAAGAATATCAAATGGAAGAGCAGGGAAATTAATAACAATCCAAACATGATAATTTCCCCACATTCCTCTGGAGCAGCTTTCCCACATCATTACTTCCCCCCCAAACCAGAGCATCCATCACATCTCTGCCACATATCCCAGTTTAGCCCCTGCCTAGAGTTTCAGAAGGTCCAAATACATCCATCACTAGCTACTGGAAACCTCTGTGGAGCTTTGCCATCTCCTCACAGACAATTTGTTGATATGGGAGAAATAAACATCAGTTCTGCTGCAGTGTTCTGCTTTGGTCAATATCTAGGGTTTTGCTTTGCAGGTGTCATCTGTGAACTCATACCTCAGAGCTTCAAGCTGTGTGGTGTGTAAGTGCTGAGGGAGAGGGTATGGGGATAGGAAGGGTGTGATTTATATAATTTCAGCAGCATATGATTTATGTGTGAGCTTCACCCAGCTGTCTGGGCTTATTTTATAGTCAGTGTAGGGAGGGAGAGACCTGCAGAAAGCACAGACTGGTTTGGGTTGGGAGGGACCTTAAAGCTCATCCAGTCCCAACCCCCCTGCCAGCAGCAGGGACACCTTCCACTAGACCAGGTTGCTCAAAGCCTCATCCAACCTGGCCACAAACACTTGTTATTTGGAAAATAAAAATGTTGAAAGAATTACCCAAGTTTCCTCACAGAAAAAGACATCAGCTGCACAGTTATCAAACAAGGTAAACATCTGCTAATGAAAAGCAGTTGAATTAAAAGCTTTTTAATTGTATCTGTCCACCTAGACAGCTGTTTGATGTTACTTTATTCACTGAACACCTTTAGGTCAATTAATATCATAGAATCCCAGACTGGTTTGGATTGGGAGGGACCTTCAAGCTCATCCAGTTCCAACCCCCCTGCCAGCAGCAGGGACACCTTCCACTAGACCAGGTTGCTCAAAGCCTCATCCAACCTGGCCGAGAACACTTCCAGGGAGGAGCAGCCACAGCTTCTCTGGGCAACCTTATATCACAACTCGTCTATGAAAGAACAAGGATTAGCTCCTTTTTATTTTAATACTAATGAAAGTAACTAGATTAACTACAGCTTAATATGTGTTGTAAGGTAACAAGTTAAACTGCTCTAAATCTTCCTCTGGGTGTATCATTCCTGTATTATATGGGGTTTTTAGTGAGTAAGAACCAGCACCTTTTAATTTGATATGATTGTGATCACGTTACCAAAAGTTCTAACGACTGCCTGAATTTTGTTTTTGAAATTATTGTGAATTACTTTAAGTTGTATTTGATTTTTTTTCTCAAAAAGTGGTTGCTTCAAGGTCTCAGTGGCCTTGTATCCATGACTCCAGATCCCAGGTTGGGACTCCATTTTGCCAAAATATCCATCCCCATTTCAGCACAATTTTGATGCTTTAAAAAAAAAAAATACTGTTTATGGTTTTCCAGTCAAAGCATTTCCAAAAGTTCTTACAATTTCTTTAGAGCATATCATTTCATTGTAACATTTCCACCCTGAGACAACACCAGTAGCATTTTAATTGTTTATTCTGTTCTTCCCTTGAGAATATCGTGGTCTCCCGTGTCCAAAAGGAAGGTATAAAATCTGTGATGTTCCCCAAAAGAAACATTTCCTGCATCCAGGAAAAAAATATTTCCCTAGCAGGTAAGTCTCCTAATGAGTAAAATTTCCTTCCATTCAGGGAGTTGTGTAGAAATTATTTTAAGTCAGTTGCCTTGTTGAGTGAATGAATTTCAGTCAAGGAAAAGAGTTGCTGCATCATCATACAATAAAAGAAAAAAGAATTATGAATATATCTTTAAAAAGGGGGAAGTTTATTTTTTATTATTTTTTAAAATCTAAAATATTGATCTGGGAACTGAAATCTCTTGCAGGTCTTCATCAGAGAGTGCTGAATTTCTAGCAGCTGGTAGGATTTCTGTACCTAAATTTCTGAGCACTGAAAATAGGAAGAAACCACCACATGTGCATATTTTTCAGGGCAGAAAAGTTTTTGGTTGGGTTTTTTTTTTTTTACTTTCACCAGGAATCTTTCAAATTGCCTGTGATGGTGTCAAAATAAATAGTAATGTTACACGCTTGCTGTTTAACTGGTCTTGGCTACAAATAAACAACAATTGAAATTTTGTGGAATTTGTCACTTTAGGAACGTAACTGGGGGATTGATGTCATGACCTGAGTCACCCAAGACATTTTCTGGAGGAAAAAGTCACATCCAGAAAATGATTCCTATTTTAGGATGCACCAAGTTCACTAAGAATGAAGGATCTTGAAAGACAAGATTGAAGGAAGCTGTCTCAAATGGGATTCGTCTCACTCGAGTGTAACCGTCTAAAATTGTGGCATTGAATTTATACTGGTCATCCAGGCTTCCCTTCTCCTCAACAGCCAGCACGTGTCCAGGATGTGATGCATCCCACCTATCCCTCTGTAATGGAACAGCAGATGATGAACTTGGAGCCAAATCCAGGTGGGATTCGTGGTAACCAGAGTGCCTGGAAACACAGCTGGGAACTGAATCCATCATTTCTGAACCCCAAACTCTGCTGTGACCATCCAGTATCCATCCTGAATGAATCCCCTTAGATTATCATCATTATTTTCTCAGGACATAAACATTTCTGGTTTGTTTGTGCCTTTGTCCACAAAGCACTGGTATTTACAGGATAATTTAGCTGACTTGTGTTAACAGTTATTTTAGTAGATGTCCTTTTGAAATCCTATTGCCTATAAATACAAGAGTGAGCAAGATATATCTGCCCTACCTAGAATTTTTACCTGCATCAGTAGAGCTGTGTCTTAACTTTTGCAAAGTTAAGTTAAATTCCTTTCTTTTTTCTAGAAAGGTAAAATTGATATCCAGAATTAATTTTCTAAGGGGCTGAGTCTAATTCAAATTCAATTAACAGTTTCAGCCAAAAAAAAAAACCCAATGTGTGGGGAAAATTGCTTGGAAAATCTACAAAGATTGTGTTGGAACATTTAAAACCAATATTCATGGCTTTCTTTTCATCAATTGCTTAGCAATTAATCATCCTCAGGAACATAAACCACAAAATATTTTGTAAGAAATCCCAGAACGAGATGCAGTATTTAATTTAATTTCATTTTAAACTAAATTATTTGTACCAAACTAATTGTCTTTTATTTTTGTCTTTAAAAAAAATATTTCTGCTTATGTTCCAGCATTTCAATCCAATTTTTTTTGGTGTTCAGTTTCACTGCTGACTCAGAAAGGTCATTATTAGCTGTGCCTGAGCTCCTTACTCTACTCTTCACGCAGGTAAATGTAAATGTAGCAGTTATTATACTCAAGTAATATGTTTTTCCCAAGTGATATATCATACCAGGTTCCTTCTACACCTGCACTGTTGTCTAACTCTTAAATAAAATCCCACCTAAGGTCCTATTTCATTGATGTGGAGCAACACAGCTGATCTACAGGAAGGAATTCCACATAGAAATGGTGTTCTTAAAGCTTTCCTTTCCATGAGCAACAGGAAGGAATTCCACATAGAAATGGTGTTTTTAAAGCTTTCCTTTCCATGAGCATCATCTAAGCCACTGGTTTCCTCCTCTGATGTTGGGTGAGATGTTTACCTCTGTCTGGTGAAGGTTGTGAGGTGCTTGTGTGTTTCTTACCCCCTGGGACTGACTGATCCTGGAAATCTTACATGTATGAAGCCAGACACCAGGTAATGAAATGCCTGGAGAAAATTGCTCTGTGCTGACTGAGTTCATTCTCTTGGGTTTCACCGACCGTCCGGAGTTGGAGATACTTTTGTTTGGGCTCTTCCTGCTCATCTACACCACCACTTTGGTGGGGAATGTTGGCCTCATTGTGCTCGTCCAGGTCAATGCTTGCCTCCATACCCCCATGTACTATTTCCTAAGCAATTTATCTTTCTTAGACCTTAGCTGTTCATCTGCCATTGCTCCCAAGATGCTGGTGAATCTGTTAGCACAGCAGAAGACCATTTCTTTAATTGGCTGTGCCACGCAGATGTTTCTCTTTGCTGCCTTTGCTGATGCTGAGTGTCTCATTTTGGCTGCCATGGCTTATGACCGCTACGTGGCCATTTGTCATCCTCTTCTCTACACCATTGCCATGTCCCACAGGGTCTGCACCTCCTTGGTAGCTGGGGCTTATCTCAGTGTGGCTCTGACCTCGCTGGTGCACACATCTTTCACATTCACATTGTCCTTCTGTGGCTCCAACGTGATCAACCATTTCTTCTGTGATATTCCCCCGTTGCTGGACATCTCCTGCTCTGATACACACATCAACCAGCTCCTCCTCTTCACCCTCTGTGGCTTTATACAAACCAGCACCTTCCTGGCCATTGTGGTCTCCTACACCTGCATCCTCAGCACCATCCTCCAGATCCGTGCTGCAGAGAGCAGGCACAAAACCTTCTACACCTGCACCTCCCATCTGACAGCCGTCGGGTTATTCTACGGCTCCCTCCTCTTCACATACTTACGTCCCAGCTCCAGCTACTCACTGGACACAGACAAAGTGATCTCTGCATTTTATACTGTCATCATTCCCATGCTGAACCCCCTGATCTACAGCCTGAGGAACAAAGAGGTGAAGGATGCCCTAAGGAGGACAGTAGAGAGAAGAGTGTTTTCTCAGTGATTTTCTTAGAAATTAAAAAAAAATAATAAAATAGTGGGTTTTGATGCAATACACAATAAAAATACAAGTGATGGGATCCCCCTGAATAAATATAAGTGCTTTGTTAGGAGTATCTCCATCTGAACTAGCTCCCCAGGTTCATTTGGTAATCACTGGAGGAAAAGAAAGTAGTCAACTTAGAAGGTGATTCACCTTATCATAAAATGGAAGCCTGGGTCAGGTGGATCCCATCCCAGAAAGATCTCATTCTCCTCGCTGTCTATAAAGAGAATCTGTCTCAAGTGCAGAAGAAAGTTACATTTTTGCAGTTTACAATTATTGAGATGTTTTAAAGAAAAGTCCAGTTCAGAGAACCGCTCCATCTGGGTGTGACTGCAGGTATTAAATCTGGAAAACTAAAAGCTTTTGTACAGTGGAAAAGACTTCCCTTCACTGGCAGCCAGAGCTGCCATATCCCCTATAGAGAGGAATCTGATCTGCTCATGATCTAGTTCATCATGTATTTAAGACAGGACTTGTTGAAGTTTCACCAGGTGTCCTCCTGCCTGTTCTCCTCCCACCAGACATCTTCCATGCTTGTTCTTACCTTGAAGATTTCCTCACCTGCATATGTTTTGCCATTATCTGTTTCTGCCTCTATAGCACAAGCCCTCGTCTCCCTTCTCGTGGCATAATTGTGGGGAGGGACTTTTCATAAGGGCAGTTAATGAGAAAACAAGGGGAAATGGGTTTAAACTGAAAGAGGGGAGGTTTAGATGAGATATTAGGAAGAAGTTCTTCACTGTGAGGGTGGTGAGACACTGGAACAGGTTGCCCAGAGAAGCTGTGGCTGCTCCTCCCTGGAAGTGTTTGTGGCCAGGTTGGATGAGGCTTTGAGCAACCTGGTCTAGTGGAAGGTGTCCCTGCTGCTGGCAGGGGGGTTGGAACTGGATGAGCTTTAAAGTCCCTTCCAACCCAAACCAGTCTGGGATTCTGTGAAATGCTTCTCAATGATTATGGTATCGGCAGCATCACAACATTATGAAACACGTACACCAGTGTTGAGATCCACTCGTGAAGACACTGGTGTCTGGGTTCAATAGAAACCAGGACACGCACCACGCAGATGTTTACATCGGAGCTTGTTAAATCCTGGCTGTCACTCGTGTGTGAGCGTTATTAATAAACATCACCCTGGCCCAGGGATGTGCAGGCTGCAGCCCCCTCACTGGGCTCCTCGGCACCGGTCAGCCCAGGGCCTGGCTGCGTGTGACCAGCTGCTGAGGCCTCTGTCACCTCAGGGCACTTGGGGAACACAACTGTCCTGGTTTTTAGCTGATTCCTTTCCAGCAGCTGGAACAGCGCTGGGG